GTCTCATATAAGGGATGTGTTCACAAGTTAATAGTCACTTCTTAAACACATGATCAATATATCCGTTTTTGTTATATTATTTACTTCTCGACAAAAATGTTAAAAGTGTGGACACAGCTTTTACATGTACAGTAAAAAATAAGCAGTTAATTGCGTTGACATAAAGCAAGTAACAGGCAAACCGTTTTCATTATGTAAATATTTGTTGATACAATGTAAATGCATTATACATAAGCCCAGTGTGGGCGAAAGTCTTAACAACAATGTCCTTCAATTTCAATTCGGTTTATGTCGTAAGTGTAGGCCATCGGCCCATAGTTACATTTGTATTATAGAGGACGTGATGTACACAGCTGTTATTGTTATTGTTCAATAATATACTACGAAGTGACTTCGCTTGATATATATAGATAGCTAGATGTTCAATTAATTTACAATCAGTTGAAGACATAATGACATTAAATTTTTGTTTGGTCGGATATTCACAATATTTCTGTGGTAAGTGATCCACCCGTAGCTTGTTATAACCGGAGCAAACTAACAAAAAATGATACTCGTCCTCCACATACCCAGCATTACAAACACAACATAGTCTTCTGTTACGTGGGATATCAGTGTATCTCCCAGTTTCAACACATAGCTGATGCGAAAAACATCTAAACCGAGCTAGCGCCACTCTCAATTTACTGACGGTCACACAGTTAAGATACAACTCTGTACCAAACGATACCTTGAATAGAGAATAAGAGAAATATATACTACCCTTTTCCAGAAGATTATGCCAATCCTGTTCATAACTATACATTTCAGACGCGACATAAATTCTGTCAAAACCGAAGGAGGATGACTTATACACTGGTTTTCCCATACAGAGCCAGAATCCAAACTGAACAATAAAGATTTACATTTTGAGACCCAATTAATTGTACCATAACTTCCTGCCTGAAGCATCATATAATAACATTTCTTTGGAAAGCGAGAATCAGACATACTCAATAACCTTATCCAATAACCAATAACTCATTTGTATGCATAAAGATATAATGGATACTGCCCACATTCACCGCGAACCATGTTGTTTAATGCTGGCGATTTGACTCCTAGAAAGGGCTTGCATGCCAATGTATGTATGGTTTCTATTTCATCATTCTGGTGTAGAGCCCAGACGGAACCATAGAGCAAAACTGTGACTATTTTCATATCAAATATTTTAGAATATAAGTCATGTCGAAGAGGGTGTAATTTTATCAATGACTTTAAGATTCCAACCATTGCTTTTTTCCCCCTGTTAACCAGCATTAGAGAAATGACTTGACCAGGACAGGCTTCTCTTAAAGTAACGCCCAAATATGTATAGGAAGATACACACTCCAACTTTAGACCTTTGTAGTACCAAATCTCTTTTCTTGACAACACTCCACCTTTCTTTAAAACAACCACCTTGGTTTTATCAAAATTGACGTCTAAATCATAATCATTACAATACTTTTCTAGAACATCAATACGCTTCTGAAGTCCACCTATGGTTTCTGCGATTAAAAAAATATCGTCTACAAATAATAACAGGAATATCTGTAATATCAGGATGAAGTTGTATTCCTGGTCCAGAATTCTGTTCAACTTCAGCAGCCAGTTCGTTAATGAACATCGAGAATAGAACGGGGCTTAAAACACAACCCTGACGTACTCCTCTTGGACACCGAAACATTTCAGAAAATGAATGTTTACATTTAACACTAGCCTTAACAGCTGCATAAACAGACTGTATAGCTTTCATCATTTTGCCAGAATCACCTTTATTGACTAGTACTGACCATAATTTCATCCGGTTTACTCTGTCAAAGGCTTTTGCAAAATCGACAAACCAACCATATACCCTACCCTTACGCTTACTGATATATCTCTGGATAAAACACTGAAATATAATGATAGTATCTATGGTGGAGTAATCATAACGGAAACCAGCCTGTGACTCTGCAATTTTACCATAATTATACCTCACACCAAGACGTGACCCTTCTGTTCAAAATAGAAACACATAACTTACTCAGTGCAAGTGAAATGACCTTCAAGTTGGTAATACTATGAATAAATCAGTTATATCCAAGAGGCTAAATGAGACAAAGAATAAACCGAGCTCTATTGATTAAACGCTATTTGCAGATTCGTAGTATTGCTGATCCCATTTTCTCATTACTTCGGTTCCAGCACGGAAGGCCATTCCAACGCGAGTATGACATGGAACATTTGTTTTATATGAGCACACTCATTGTCAACCATCTTTTTTGTCATATTCCTTGCCAGAGCTGTTAGGGTTTCAGATAAATCCACATTACCCGTTGTTTCTGTACGGAGGTGCAATCAAGTCTGATACCATCCACAACAGTATCTATTAACACAGGTTTCACACCTGCAATATCAGAATTCACGTGCAATATTACAAGTATATATTTTTCTATGTTTTTTTAATTATTTCTCAACAAAGAGTTTTGTAAAATATTTTATCGCTAAGTGTGGTTATTGTAACCAGGAAGCACTTATCCGAAACTACAGTCATGAGTCAAATGTTTTTGTCATGAGTCATATGGCTTCCCTAAGCTGCTTATGCACTGTGCTATCATGTTTCCTGCTAGGCCAATCGCTTCTTACACAGCCCGGTAAACATTTACTCCCAGAAATAGCCTTATCGTATTCAAAAATATATATCTTCAAAATAAAAAATATAATCCAAATGAAGCCGAGAATAATGCTTTATTTCAGAGCCGATGCAATCACAACGTGCCAAATCAATCTAGACTTGACTTGGATTATTTTGAATTTATTCTCTAGGTCTGGGAGAAAGACTAAAAGCCTGGTTACTGGTTCTGTACACGCGTGCGCTGAGGTATAGCGGGGGAGGGAGTGACTTGATGTTATCCCCGCTTTGAACAGTACTTCAGTTATGTTATGCACGAGCTCGCGGGTACGGTGCTGATAAACCTAAAAACTGAATCAAGATGAGCATGAATTCGAACCCACGATCAGAGATTCCTGGCACGCCTAAGGGACGCAACTCTTCACAGCGAGTTCCGGCGCCGTATACATCTGATGGTAACATGTGAGGATAGGGAAGCGCAGAACAAGGTAGGACATCTGGTTTGGATAAGTAAACTACGTTTATAACGAACTCAAAGGGACCACTAAATTTAGTTCGTTATAAACGTAATTCGTTTTAATCATATATACAGCATATATACAGCAAATGGCTGGGACCAAAAAAACCAGCTCGTTATATCCGCCAGTTCGTTATAAGCGAGTTCGTTATAAACGTAGTTTACTGTATATTACTTTAAATGCAGTCTATGGACCCAGAGATAGACCAAACCCCTATACCAAGTTTGATTGAAGTATCAAACACTGTAACTCAACGTTTATATCTGTCTTTAGAGAAGTTATTGATTACGCAATTGGCACATCTATGTCTGGGTTTTACAAAGGGCGCTGATAATTCCCTTGAAATGAACCGTGGTGAATCAATATTCTGACATGGAAGTAACTCGCCGTGAATTTAACAATTCAATCTTAAACATTACAGTCGCAACAATTACAAAGGTGTTATTGATGTACATCTAAAAATCAATTGATCTATTGTCCGCCTTCCGCAAGCAAATCAATTGATTACAGGAACGGTGGAAAACGCCATTGTCCCCAAGAAAAGGGAAGGCTATAGTTTAAAGTTAAGAATTGAGTTCGCCAATTCATGGGTGAGTGCAACGAAAGCTATGTCGTTGTGAAGCACTTGGGAATCAAGAGTAAATGATTTTAAATTAGCATGCATGCATACTAGCAGAGCTACCTCGTCAATTTCCACAACGCTACGACTGTGGAAGTCTATGTTAAAGTATGGCAGTTACGATCACCTTAGCGCTACGACTGCCGAAGTCTGTGTTAAAGTATGGCAGTTACGATCATCTTAGCGCTACGACTGTCGAAGTCTGTGTTAAAGTATGGCAGTTACGATCACCTTAGCGCTACGGCTGTCGAAGTCTGTGTTAAAGTATGGCAGTTACGATCACCTTAGCGCTACGACTGTGGAAGTCTATGTTAAAGTATGGCAGTTACGATCACCTTAGCGCTACGACTGTGGAAGTCTATGTTAAAGTATGGCAGTTACGATCACCTTAGCGCTACGACTGTGGAAGTCTATGTTAAAGTATGGCACTTACGATCCCCTTAGCGCTACGACTGTGGAAGTCTATGTTAAAGTATGGCAGTTACGATCACCTTAGCGCTACGACAGTCGAAGTCTATGTTAAAGTATGGCAGTTACGATCACCTTAGCGCTACGACTGTCGAAGTCTATGTTAAAGTATGGCAGTTACGATCACCTTAGCGCTACGACAGTCGAAGTCTATGTTAAAGTATGGCAGTTACGATCCCCTTAGCGCTACGACTGTGGAAGTCTATGTTAAAGTATGGCAGTTACGATCACCTTAGCGCTACGACTGTCGAGGTCTATGTTAAAGTACGGGAGTATGATTGCTTTGTGGAACAGGGCAAAGTGCTGAAACAAGCGCTTCCCATAACAATCTCTTGTTACATCTCCTATTATTACATGTTATTCCTCTGAATATGTCTGCATCAATGTGTTGAAATTACGAGATAAACCTACAGTAGTCAAAATGTAAATTAGATACAGCTTATTTCAAATTCTTCAATGCATGGTAGAATCAACTGTAACCATTTCCAAACGGTAGGTTTCTTCAATGTATAGTTGAGTAAAAAAAATCATTTGTCTAGCATGCGGCTCATAACGGGATAAACACCTCTTTGAAACCTATGGTAATTATGTTTCATATCAACCCATTGCCAGTACCAGCTTCCTGTTTTGATATAGGCCATGTCAATACATGAATATGTTACGATAACGTAACGACACACAAATCGATCGAAGCACCTTGATCGCAATTATGCCATTGGCCGGTCGTTCTGTATCGCGTCCCGGGGATCGACCTAGGCGGCAAATATCCAACCCTACGCATCCAGCTCTGAAAACGTTCAAAGACATCCACTGTTTGTCGTCTTGGTGATACCTAATCAACAAGTGCCTGTTTATAGTCTATATACGCGAAGCCGCGGTGCTACATTCATACTTGAACAGGCTATACATTATAAATAACTCATTTATTTCTGGTACACCCAAGTAACTTGATAAGTTTCTTCTTTTTCATGAAGGGATGCGAATGCACTTTGGGAAACGGCGCCTACCGGATTGAGTCACACGTATGGTGAACAGCCAGGCATGCCGCTCTTGCCAGCATTTGTTTCTCCTGGTCTGCTGAAGGCGTGAAACCTCGCCATGCTGTGGAAGAGCATTGCCATTCTCTCAGTTGTTCTGTTGTGTTACATACTCCTGTCAGCGACAGTGTTTCATTATCTGGAACAGCCAAATGAAATCAATGTGAAAGAAAAGACACGGGACTTTCACATGGAATTCCTACGTAAGTAATGATTATGTCATCATTGAATTAATGCAGTCATTGATCATATTGAGGGTGAAGTGATGTGGGGTTTAACGTCGCGTTCAAGATGATTGCACTGGTATAGCAACGTGAATTCGTGTGTGTGTGTGTGTGTGTGTGTGGGGGGGGGGGGGGGGGGGTGTGCAATCCTTTGAACCCGTGACGAGGGTGGTGGAGAAGGATTACATTTATTGTATAACCGATGAGGTACGAGTGATCATTAATGTTTATCAATTAATGAAACTAATGTTATTCAATAAGTAACACATTTTCAATTAGTGACACATTTTCCATAATCACGATTACCAAGTGGGTTCTTCCAATTATTACCCAAATTCATTCGAACGAGATTAATTTGAAGTTACAAAGCTGTACTCGTGATTCATTTCTGTAAGGCGCCATTACATTCCAGATTTTGGTTCAATTTGTTATTTTTAACGGTCAAATCAGCAGCAGAAGTCTCTGGTAAATAAGAAGTCATATGGTCATATTTGTTCATATCTTTACAAGTAACTTCAGTAAAAAAGTGCTTCCGACCTTTTGTTCAGACTTCAAATATCCTTTTGTGCAGGGTGTAATTTGTTTTCTCTTTGTTTGGGACAAGGGATTCTTTGCTGAAACACTATAATAGAATAACATACATTGCCAGACTAATTGGATATATAAAATCCAATTTTGTGCCCAATAAATGTATGCAATTTCAGTTCTTTGAAGAAATCGAAAATCTGTTCAATTTCCACTTATCTGAACAATATTGATCCTGGAACTACATTTTTACCTTTTCAATTTTCAATTTCTTCATAAAATGATGTTTAAAAACATTACGAACCTTCGTCTGAATAGTTTGAGATAAATACCGCATGTTTCAGTTGGATAACGGCCCGCATTGTTTGTATATAACATATTTCTTATCTGTGGCATAGACTAAAATATTGAAATTCCTTGTTCATTTTGCAATCAAATTTTTAATTAAACTCCCGAGCAATGACTTTGTATATTTTAATATTTGTCACTACCAATTGGTTTTAAAACGGTAAGTAATGTGCGTTTAAAACATTATGTATTGAAATTAACACATGGTCGACATCATGAAGGATTTCAAGTGAATTTGCAGCCCCGAAGTGTTAATTTTGTCCCTGAGGACATTCGCTTCCAGTCTTTGAAAGTCAGTTTTCAAAATCACGACATTGAAAACAAACGAACTGCTGTATGTATGGAATTCTGTGGTGGTGCCCCCACCCCCTTCTTCCCACCATGATAACATGTTATGAACAGTAACTTATTAGTAAAGTGTCAAAGAGGACGTCCCACCCCCTTTTGTTAAATCCTGGATCCGCCCCTGATATGAATGGTCACAGAATCAAATCGGTATATAACAGTAACGCTCTCATTAAAATCAGATCTTAGTTTTCGCTACCGCTAAACAATAGGCTGGGTATCCCTCCCTTACTGAAGTGACATGCCTAAGGAAGTTACTGTTATCAATCTCATTAAAATCAGATCTTAGTTCTCCCTATCGCTAAACAAAGATCTGAGGACATCCCATTACGGGTCACGTCAGAACGACCTTTCGCGAACTTTGACCGATCAATGAAATGACTGACAAGAAATCGATATTAGCCAATCAGAAGCCAGCTTTCTCGAGCCTTACGACACTAGTTTCCAACTGGCGACTACGCTTCGAAGCATATTTTGACGCATTCTCGATTTAAATTTTTAAAACTGATAAAAAGAACATTCTGGAATGGCTTATAGATGGCCTAGATTGTATGGATATAATCATGAAACCTGTAACTGTCGTTCGGAATACCCTCTGTTAAATATTTCGAGGTTGCACGATTGGAAAACACATGCCGTGTGTCACTTTCATGATCTGGTAAGCGACGCTCTGATTGGTTGGATGAAAGGTCGTTCTGACGTGACCCGTAATGGGATGTCCTCAGATCTTTGTTTAGCGATAGGGAGAACTAAGATCTGATTTTAATGAGATTGATAACAGTAACTTCCTTAGGCATGTCACTTCAGTAAGGGAGGGATACCCAGCCTATTGTACATATCATAGTTGTCTTTTGTTTCGCGATTTAGTCAATCAATAATGCAGAGTTTGCTGTTGAGGAACGGGACAAGCGTCAGTGATCATATCTTTGGCTATTCAGTGTGTTGTAATATCCACTTGAAAATGATAAATAATTGAATCTAGTTGAAAACACTGGATGGTCTAGTACGCACTGAAACTATTGTGTCAAAGTCTACCCCTTAGGCGTGTACTAATACCAGCTATGATCAAATAAGACTATGCTTTTCAGCTATGCTTAGAGTAACTATTAGCGTCAAAGTCTACAGATCGGCAATGTTTGCAAGTTGATGTTTGTCAAGATTGCTTAATTGTACTAGTCCGGACAAATGCCGGTTTTATGGTGCTAGCCCGCTGATATAATATGCCGCAGTTTAACATGAATACCCGAGACTCCGAGCTGACAAGTCCTTGTTTAAGCCCCTTAATACCGAGGGCAAGGCAGGGTAACAACAAGTACCATATTTTTACATATTTTGGTATGACGCTGCCGCGGATCGAACCACCGACCTTCCGCTCTCCGGTAAGCGCTGTACCCACTAGACCACGGAGGCGGTCCGATCATATTGAAAAGGGCGGCAGATGTTGTGATAGTTGGATAAAATAGTTTCGTATTTCATTCTATTCTATTTCATATGAATATTTGAAGTATTTGCTAATTAATTAAGACTTCGGTGAAATATCTGCTTCAATGGATGTGATGACTTGTTAACACTGCATACCCATCAGTGACGTCATGGTGCATTGATATAATTGAAATATCATTACTGAATGCTACTTCTGTTTCAGCTATGAATAATGCACTTTGAAACATATCATTATGATTATACATCTATAATTGATACCCATTGTGGTTTGTTGTTTGGATGGGACACGGTTATATTCTCTTGCATCCTCCTCTTCAACCACAGACCGCCTCCATGGTCTTGTGGTAGAGCGTCCGCCCGGAGAGCGGAAGGTCCGGGGTTCGATCCCGGGCCGCGTCATACAAAAAGACGTTAAAAGATGGTACTTGTTGTTACCCTGTCTGGCGCTCGGCATTAAGGGGCTAAAACAAGGACTGGTCGGCTCGGAGTCAGTATACTGTGTCTGAGTGGGGTATTCATGTTAAACTGCGGCATGGTATCTCAGTGAGCTAGCACTATAAATCGGCATCAGTCCGGACTAGTACAAGCAGCCACACACACACATACACGTGCATGCACGTCGCTATATAAGTGCAATAATCTTGGACGCGACGTTAAACCCAATTTCACCTCACCACCTCTTCAACCACATAATAGCAAATCGATGGCCATCTTCTCGTGGTTAGCTCGCAGTTTGAGGTAATCGTAACAATAGCTTCATATAATAATTAATCAGTAATAAAACTTACAATCTAGTCACATATTGTCACGGGACTCGGAATTTAAAATTTGATGTAACGTTAGTAATGTCGAGAAAGATTACAAATGTCAATGTTTATCTAAGCGTGACCATTTTTTATGTATTATTCCATTCTATTGTTACACGTGTGTGAAAAAGCAGTACCTGGGAACCGCTCACTCATAAACACAATCCAGTGTCATTTGATGCCATGTTGCTTCAGACCTTTTCAAACAAACACAGATGTGCTAGCTGCAAAAGAGTTCACGAGAACCGCCCTCGACTCACACACACCACACACACGCACGCACGCATGCACACACACACACGCGCGCGCACACACACGTAAATACCAAAAAGTTATGGATCGACTCCAGATGGCTGTCATTATACTATTTTCAATATACACTCTTCAAAAAAGAAAAAGAAACGCATAGTTAAAAAATAAGGATATGTATTAAGCGGGTGTACAAATATCTACACAGAATATGCGTGAACACAATCAAGTGAAATTAGACACAGTGATCGACAAAAGTATTGTCGTCATTGTCAGCATTAATTCAGTTCAGTCATTGCACATGTGTAGCCACAAGGGGTCGTCATAGTCAGTACCTGGTCACACCACCTCTTGCAGCCGTTACTGCTCGACACCTCCTTGGCACAGATAGCACAAGTCGTCGGATTTTTTCGTGGGGAATTCTTCGCCATTCCTCCTGTAAGGCGTTGGCAAGTTGTGCCAGTGTGTGGGGACGCTAGTGACGTTGACGGACACGTCGATCAAGTTCGTCCCACAAATGTTCATTCGGGTTGAGATCAGGCGATTTGGACGGCCATGGAAGGACATTGATGTTCTCATTAACAAGGAAATTAACTGTTGCACGTGATGTGTGGGACCGAGCGTTGTAATGTTGGAACAGCTCCCTCTGTCGGTCCAAAGTTGGGAGGAGGTGAGGACGCAGAATTTGGTCCGTGTATCGGTTTTCTGTAAGATTGCCCTGGACAACCACTAACTGTGATCTACCCGTGTAGGATATGGCTCCCCACACCATGACATTCCCTCCACCAAATCGGTCCACCTGTCGAACGCAGTTCGGCGCAAAACGTTCATGTCGACGTCGGTATACACGTTGTCTTCCATCCCGTCGTTGAAGAAGAAAACGTGACTCATCGCTGAACCAAACGCGTCGCCAGTTCCTGAGATCCCATGCCTGTACTCTGTTGCACCACCGGACACGTCGTTGACGGTGTAAACGTCGCAAGACAGGTCCAACTTTTGGTCATCTCGCTCGAATTCCCACTTCCCTCAGACGATTTCTGATGGTTTGGTCGGAAATTCTTCGCATACCAGGCACTTGTCCTGCAGTGTCCGTTGCTGTAGCAAATCGATTCCGAAGGTGATGCAACCGGATGTACTGATCCTGAGCAGGAGTGGTCACTCTTGGTCTTCCACTTTTGGGATGATCTTGAGTCGAATTTGGGGTATATCGATCCCATAGTCGAGATATGGTGCTTTGGTGAACGTTGAAGTGTCTTGCAAGGG